GATTAAAAATGTATTCCAAGAACTTAAAGATATGCATATACTAAAAAAAAAAGATGCAGTGATATTTATGTTTTTGTTAAGTCCTCATCTGTCAATTACACGGTTTCATGCGATGTTGTGAGCCAATGTTGAGAGCCACTGAACAAAGCAAAGACAAACTCAGCATCTTCAGAACTTATTCACTCATTTCTATTGTTTCGACTGTATCATGGTACACTGGCTGATGTTTGCAGATGTTGCCCCACTCGCACTTCCTGAAACCTCAAACTGAAGGTATCTCCCAGAATACATTTTTTTTGTCTTTTTTTTTTTTTTGCTTGTGTCATTTTGTAAATGTTTATATGTACATTTGTACATACAGAAAACTATATGAAACCGTTTTAAGATGTGAAAAATCTTTAGTGAAATAAAAATGTGATGTAATCCAAAAAGAAAAAAAGATCTGTCTGTTTTTTATCATAACTTTTTTTGGATCTTGATAACCCGCTGAGATCATCGAGATTTGGATGGATGACACAATATTTTGGCAGAGCCATCTATCCTCTGTCCGTCTCCACATTTCCACCCCCATGTCTTTCCCAGCCTCTCGTCTCTGCCCTCTCCTGCTTTCATCTCCTCTGATACAACATACCCGGGCTTAGATTTCAGACTCAAAACCAAACATGGACTAAGAGGGGGACAAAAAAAACACCCAAGAACCCAGAGAGAGGGAGGCCCACAAGCGAACTGACAGCTGGGTGTGAAAGTGTCACTCTCACCTCCTTGCTCATACTCTTTCACTCTTTTTTTGCCCTGTTTTTGCCCTTTCGTTTTCTTCTCTGAACATCGCCTTTTGAGGAAAAGCTGAACATCCGTCCACACAGCTGTATGTTGGAATGAGGAGAAAATAAACCTCAGAGCTGACTGAAAACTGTCAAAACTCACCGTTCCTTGTAAAACCGCACAACATACACACTCAAAATCAGAACATTAGAACTGAGCTGTTTGCTTTTCCGTGATAACGTCATAGCTTAAATTCAATGCAGATGATCACAGAGTCTCAGGTATCTTGTGCAATGCTGCACCCACAAATGTGTACAGTAGGATAAAGCAGGACATCATTCAACTGTGCCTGATGGGATGGATTAAATATGGTAGTCTCCACTGCTTTGATGTCTCGGTTCAACATTATGTCAGGCATTATGTGAAAAAGTAAATGTATGCTTTATAATACAAAAAATGTTCCTTTAGCTGTGCAAATACCATAAACCAAAAGTGAGCTTTCAGATTAGTTCGAGGACAAGCTTTTACAAACATGGCATAAAACTGTAGAAACATCATTTTAAGGTTTTATTCCAGTGCAGTAAATCTGAGTATCGCAGTAAAGTCAATGAAAATTCTACTAAAATACAATACTTGAAGTTTAAAATTGTGATTTACTACATATGACAAGAAGTTTTTGAAATATAAATCATTTGGGCACTTAATTACATTTACATGTACAACTACTCATTAACACATTTAGGCAAGGTGACATGCTAAAGTTCAAACTGAGCATCAGGTCTGAGTATTTCACAAACTGCTGATCTACTGGGATTTTCCCACATAAGGTTCACAGACAAAGGTCCAAAAATTCAAAAAAAAAAACAAAACCCATTGAACAGCAACACAAGAGGTCAGAGAAGAATGGACAGACAGGAAGGCAACAGTAACACAAATAATCACTTGTTACACCCAATATGGAGAAGAGCATCTCTAATTGCACAACACATCAAGTCTTGAAGCAGATGGGCTACAGCAGCAGAAGACCGCACAGGGTGCCCCTCCTGTCAGCTAAGAACAGGAAACTGAGGCTAAACTTTGCACATTCTCACCAGAATAGGACGACAAAAGACTGGAAAAATATTGCCGGGGCCAATGTGTCTCAATTTCTGCTACAACATTTGGGTAGTAGAGTCAGAATGTGGCATAAACAAGACGAAAGCATGGATTAATCCCACCTCGTATCACTGATTCAGGGTGCTGGTGGAGGTGTAATGATGTGAGGGGTATTTCTTGGCATATTTTGGGCTCCCTAGAGCTTTCCAGAGTATCACTGCTGATCACATCCATTCCTTTGGGACCACAGTGTGCCCATCTTCTGATGGCTGCTTCCAGCAGAACAATGCACCATGTCAGAAAGCTGAAATGATCTAACACCGGTTTCTTGACCATGACAGTGAGCTCACTGCATTCAAATGGCCTCCACAGTTAAGCCAATAAACGACCTCTGGGATGTGGTGGAACAGGGCATTCACATCATGGATGTGTTGCCAACAAATATGGAGCATTGTGGGATGCTATCATGCCAAAGTGGAGCAAATTTCCAGGATCTTGTTGAATCTATGCCATGAAGAATTTTGCAGCTCTGAATAGAAAAGAGGCAATTTTTTACCAAAGTGACCAGTGAGTGTATTTTACCATCTTTCTTGTCCAAAACTTTAGCTCTTATTTTATGCTTTATCTAATACAAAAGGTCATTAACTTTCACTTAATAAAGGCAGACACGTAAACAGCTTCACTGGCACAACACTCGAAGGAGTCTGAACAGCTCCGATAAAAAACACTGTCACAAAAAGAAAAGGGATTGCAATTTAATAACAAAAAGATCAACCATAAATCAGAAAAAGAAAATTCTTCTAAATCAATATAGCAATGACCTTCAAGTGAAGAAAAATGTGTGAAAAGACTAAATGTCAAACAGATGCAAAGCTAAAACTAAAAGCTAAAGACTAAAGAAGAAGGGTGAAAATTATACACCAGAGACTGCTGAGAAAGGTCAAGTTTTGAAATGTCTAGAGTGACAAAGCAGCTCGGCTCTGACAGCTGTACACAGGAGGGAGCAGTCAGGTGACGATGGGGGAGTGGGCGAGGCGGGGTGGTTGGGCAAGAAGGGTCAAAGAAAAGTTAATGAGCAAACTTTAGATGATTCGTATTAAATTTACCCCGAGAGACGAACAATAAGTGAAAGTTTTAATGCACAACTTTTAAATATGAATCTTAATTCTTGGATGTAATACCCATGAAATGACACCCAGCACGCTGACTAGTTGAAAAATGATGCATATGAGATAAAATTAATCAAATAACACTGGTGCACCCCAGTGGAGTGCATAATTAATTTTTCAGTTTAAACAGTGAAATCATCTCATTTTGAAAGTATAAAATCCAGCATATTTGCCTGGATCCACACACTAACTGTTCTGTGTGATATCAAGCTACAAGCATGTGATATGGGATTGGAACAATGATGTAATGATGAGACGCTTTTTTTCTCCTCCTTCTTCTTATCATAGGCTAATAGTTGGGTTTTCTTTTTTGACTGTGCTACTGGAATACAGGGTGAAAAACGAATGTGTGATTCACAGAAAGGAGAAACTGGAAAGAAAGACTGATGCATTATGTGAAGCAGTGGAAAAGCTTGCCTTATTTTCCTGTTCTGTGCATCAGCCTAGTGTTATACTTCCACAAGGTGAGATATAACAAAAAATGAAAACATCAAATTGCTCCCAGTGTGATCTTTTCATTTGGAGAACCCGTATCTTCAGCGTCCCTTTAATAGCTACTGTACGAATGCTTGATGATTTTTCTGGGATGTTGAAAGCTTGTAAAAGTGGGTGCACGATTTGTACTGTTCCAGTTATAATGTTCTGTTTATGGTGTGAAACCTGACATCTAATACAGCTTTTTAAAGAGTCTTGTCATGGTTTGCAGACCCAAAGAGGACAAACATCTAAGATTTCCTAATCTTGAGTTTAATACTGTCTGATAATAATCTTAGTGTCTGTAATAGGCTCAAATATCTTGGACATCTTATTACAGATCAAATGACGGGTATTGATATTGCACAAGAAAAAACCCCACTTATCAAATTTAAGACTTTAATAAACCACAATTATCAGCTGTCGAGACAATTTTCACATTTTAAATACTTTTTATTTATTTCTTTTTTTGTGCTTATTTTACTTGATCTTTGTTTTTACTTTGTGACTTTGCGGGTCAACATGCTGGAAGCAGCCATCAGAAGATGGGTTCACTGTAGTCATGAAGGGATGGAGATGCTCAGCAATAATACGCACGTAGCTGCGGTGCTTAAACAAAGCTCAGATGTTAGTAAGGGTGTTCTGGCAAAGAAATGTCTCCACACCATTACACCAGCAGCAGCAGCATGAACCAATGATATAAGGCTGGCAGGATCCATGCTTGCAAGCTGTTTATTCCAGATTCTGACCCTATCCTCTGGAAATTGCAGCAGAAATCAAAACTCATCAGAGCAGACAACATTTTCCAATCTTCTGTTGCCCAATTTTGGTGAACCCATGTGAACTGTACTCTCTGTTGTCTGTTCTTAGGTGTGGCACCTGGTGTAGACTTCTGCTGCTGAAGCTTATACGCTTGAAAGTTTGACGTTTGTGTATTTAGAGATTTAGACCTGCTTTTCTGCTCTCCTATCAGCTTCTCCGTAAACCCTACTGATGGTTGTGTGGTCAAATTCTAGCAGATCAGACAAGTCACCTACAAACGTTTTATGTTCAAAAACTTGAACATCACACTTAAATCATCTTAAATTATCCGCCCCTCCCATTCTGATGCTCATTTTGAACTTCCGCAGGTCTTGGCCGTGTCTACATGCATACATGCATTCAGTTGCTGCTGTATAACTGGCGGGTTATATATTTATAAACTCCAAAGCCAATTACAGACCCACAGAAGACATATAAAGTTAAATGCGTGTGTAAAATCGGAGCCTTCCGGGTCGGGAAATACTGAATGTTTTCATGCTCGCTGACTGCTGAAAAGCTTTGAATAAACAGTACCATGACTGCCATGAGCTTTCCCACATCCGTGTCCCTCTGGCAGTCACTCGTCATCATCCAGCTCGCTGGACCTTTAAAATTCTTGCAACGTAATTACGTCCAGCGCTACGTTCCTTATCGTTTCAGCACCCTATTGGACCAGCCCTTTGAGCCTATAGCCAATCAGAGGACAGGAACCAGGAGGGCACTGATTGCAAATACGGAAATACAGTGAGAGCATCCGCGTCGTTATATTTACCTTTCATCTCAGGCAGTTTAAGAGTTTGTGATTAAAAGGAGACTGTGCACAAAGCACGTATTTTTTCCCCCCGCTCTATGGATTTGTTGTCGCTTCTGTCATGGGCCTGCATCGTGTTCACAGTCGGGATGTTCTCGACTGGACTGTAAGTTTAAATGATCGTTAATTGCATGCATCTATGTTTTATCTTGCTTCCTGCTCTAACTTTGTAAGGATGGGAGAAAGTACGAAGAAAGCAAGATCCCACTGAGACAGGATGGAGATTTTCTGAACTGCTTGCACTTGGTAGCATCACAACAACTTTATAGTGAAGGAATGCGAGAAAGTACTAACACTGAACATGGAGTTATTGGTTTAAATTGCTATTAGCATCTCCAGCCTATTCTTTTGTTTTTTATTCTTTCTGTGTGTGTGTGTGTGTGTGTGTGTGTGTGTGTGTGCATGCGTGTGTGTTTCTAGGACCGACCTGAAAAAGATGCGAGAATCCAAAAGTACAGACAATATCCAGTTTCTCCCTTTCCTCACCACGTGCCTCAAGTGAGTTTCTCTTTCCGCTTTTGCATAATTCACTGTGATGCATCATCATTAATGTTCCTGTTGTTTCTATAGTAACCTTGGTTGGATGTATTATGGGATTCTGAAGAGAGATCAGACGATTATCCTGGTCAACATCATTGGTGCTCTTCTCCAGATACTTTACATCATCATGTACTTCCGCTACACGAAGCAGAGGGTCAGCATAGTCAGACCTGTCATAAAGCGCTCTCCTTACTTGCAGCTGGATCTTTAATTTATCTGTCTCTGTATTTGTTGGTTTCAGAGGTTAGTGTCCTCCCAGACCCTTGCAGCAGGGATTGTACTGATCTGCGGTTGGCTCTACTTCACCATGTTTCTTACTGATGGAGACATTCGTCTCAGCCAGCTGGGACTCACCTGCAGCGTGGTCACCGTCAGCATGTACCTGTCACCGCTCACCGACCTGGTACAATTCACACCACAGACAAACACAACATACAGGCAGCGTGTAGAACGTCGCCTGTGTTTGTTTTCTCTCACTGAACTGAATAATATTTCAGAACATGATCTGGAAATCAGTTACATTTGGATGATAGTACCTAAAAACTCGCCTTAATGAGTTTTATATTGTAAAGGTAAAACTTTTAGTAGTAGAGAGAAAATCCTGCTAACAACAGCAAGGGTGGGAAGGAAGAACTGTCTTTTTAACAGGAAGGCATCACACAGCAAGCGAGTCGATTTGCACAATACTGCGAATCGCTTCCTATGTTGATGCAGCTTAAGGGCTCCAGGCCTAATTATAATCTTTATCAAAAAGTGAAGTTTATTTTTAGCACATTTAAAAACAACAAAAGTGCTTTACGAATAAAGTAATCAAATTGGATAAAACCGAGTTAA